ATGAAAAAAATACCACAGACTTCGACAAAAGCTGCCGAGGAAGAGTTGGAAACTTTTCACGTCGACCTCACAGCTCCTGCTGAATATATTGATAAACAAATTGCAGGTACACTAATCATTCTATTTCGCCTGTCTGTTCTTATCTTATTTGCTGAATTCTTAAATTATTGAAAATTCAATCGAATTTAACTTACAATTTTCAGTATCAATAATTGTTTAACATGGACATCGAAAATTCCATTGAATTATTTAGTTGATTGAAACCACTGATTGAATAAGATCTTGATGCTGACAAGGTTGAAAAATCAATTGATACTGTTGCTGAAAATTAAAAACAAATTCCAACACTTCTGTATAATTACAACTAGTTTTCAGCAGCAATGCCATGATTAGACAATTATTAATCACGTCGGAATGAAAAACAAATAGGGGCCCATTGTATGCAATCAATTATTTAGTTGTACTGGTAAACGAATCTATAAGATCCCAGGTTCTCTCTGTCTTGAGTAAGTATGTAGAATGTATTTCGATTTTTCTAGAAAACCATGATCGGTATGTCTGTCGATACCAATCGTACTCTAGCCAGATGCTTAGGTGAACTTGTACGTCAAGTCGTCACAATAAACGTAGCAAAGTTCTTAGTACCCTTGCAGGCTACTAAGGATTAAGTTGTATTCAATGAAACATCACTGGGGAAAATAATAAAAGGTAAAATTTTTTATTGCCAATCTTTAAAGATCAATGAAAAAATTATCATCATTGAGAAAAAGAAACAATAGTAAGCTCAATTTTTATTCCATTCTCGAGAATTAGCTGAGTCAGCTGGTGACTCACACCCTTTTCTTAATTTAATGGCGAAGAGTACTTTTTAGACTCATTGATTTGACAAAAATGAATAACGTAAAATTTACTTTCACAGAGATTTACCGTCGGCGATTCGGAAAAAAAAATAAACCACTGAAGACTAATAACAAGACTACAGACTAAGACTAAGACTAAGACTAAGACTTATAACAAGGGCCTACAGGGAGTATTACACAATACTAAATATTGGCGTGGAGGCCGTGCTAGACCATTGGAGGACTCTAATGACGAGGCCGAAAGGGGAACCCCACAGGAGTCATCAGATGATTTTGAGACTTCTACCGTGGATTGAGAAAGTGTAGAGGGCGGTGAGACCGTATTTTTTCATGAAAAAAAAAAACATTAAAAACTTCTAGAATATCCCTCGTTACATATTTTTATGGATGTGTTGAAAATAAAAATTTTCTATTCAATTTTTGGAGTTATTTGATAAACTCAATTCCACCCTTTTTCTCACAGGTTTCCAACAGGGTACCTATGATCCTACTGATAGATGCCTTGTAGGTTACTCCCTACGAGTAACCCGTCGGTTAACTGCGTGACGTTTTCGTGAGTGCCCTATCGGTTGTTACCTATATGTCACCTGTATCTACGTCGGTCACCACGCACGGGTAACCTAAGTGAAACCGACGAAATTTTTACTCGGGCCTACCAACCCTTGGGAAAAACCGGAGGGAATTTAAGTTTCATTTTAGAGCCAACCGGACCCAAAGTTCTTGATTTTTATATAACCATTAGCACCCTTTAGACAATTCCCCCCGAAACAAAGACCTCATTAAAAGAAAAACAACTCAATTCCCAGGCATTTTACAACTTAATCCATCGCCAGCCGTGTGACCCAAAGAAAATTCCCTTTTTTCTTGCCATAAACATTACAGTCTTGAAAAACAGGGAAAATTCTCCCTAAACACTCAAGTTTTCTCCCACCAGAAAAAAGGTGGATTAAGGTAGAGGGTTGAACCTTTCTCTGCCAATCAAATGCGAACTTTCGTGTTGTGAAAATTCCCTCCCTCGTCTTCCTGACACACTCACCTAAATTAGCAAGAAGAAGAAGATCAGTTCAAGACGAATAGTGACAGTGCAAACATTATCCAATTTTGTACTTCAAGTATCCTAACTTTCGCTTGTATCGAGACTAACCATATCGCATCCTAAAATAAAAATAAAAACTCAAGTGTCAACCATCATCCGAACTCCATAGTGTTCAAGTGTTCACATAATTTTATCCCCTTCCGGTGATTGCAACCATACCTTTAAAAAATATATCGAAAAACAGAAGAAGAGAAAAACAATCACCTCAACCCCTCGAGTGATATTAATTTATTAGCTCGAGTGTACCACCCTATGGTGGCACAATGGGAGCCATGTTTCTAAACCTCGGCAGCTCTGAACTACGGGATATCGGGACCAGAGACTTGAACGATACGCATTGGAGTTTGGTTCTTTGGAAGAGCGCGAGTAGCGACCGTTCCATCGAGGAGTTGGAGATTTAGACTCGGACAATAAATTATTGTATGGAAAGGAGACCTTTTTTTTCTTCTGCCCTTTCTACCCCGTTCCGGGATTAATCGACCCTCCCCCCTGCCGCGCCATGTGGTTGCGTGCGCCGCCTTCTAAGCTGTATCGCATTTACAGCCGCCCCTGCGAGGTTCGCCTATGTGATCCAGCTCCCTGGCGATTGAGGGAACACGCAATAGCGTGTATGTTGCGTGTATGTTGCGTGGTAGTTGGGTGGTAGTTAATTTTATGCTTAAAAGGGCCAAAAATCATAAAATTAATATGAACAAGTTAAATAAATATTGAAATATTAATGATTTGGGTCAGTTTACGGTAATTAACTGGTTTATTTAAAGATATTATAATTAATGAATAATATGGGGGTATTGTGCAATGACAGACTGCTACGGGAGATCCCGCTACATGGCAGCAGTGTTGAAATACCACAGGGGTCTGCAAACCTGATCGTTCCCTTGATCAGGTTTTCCTTTACCATTCACTGTAGGGTTTTCTCTCTGGAATATTTTTTAAGAAATCTTTTTGAATTATTTATAAAATTTAAGTGTAGGGTGCATAAACATGAAAAAAATCCGTGATTTTGATTTTTTAAAAATTTGATTTATTTTTTTTTCTTTTCTTGTCTTCGGTGATTCCTGAATCCTCCTGAAATCCAATGTCGCCCATTTTCCAGCGACAGCAGGTGTTCGAGAAAAATACGCTTCCGTTCATTAATGGTTTGACTCTCTGTGATAGGCTTCGTTTCCTTTTTTGTTCGACTTCTTCCTACGATTTTCAGGTTCTCCCCGCTTCATACAATTCGCAAGAGCGGGAGCTGCGAATACTTATCCTTATGCTTTATAAGTAATTTTAAAATTACTTATAAAGCATAAGTAATTTTATACTTATCCTTATGCTTATAAGGATACTTATAATTTTAAAATTACTCATAAAGCATAAGGATAAGTATTATTTCATAAGTAATTTTAAAATGACGTATAAAGCATAAGGATAAGTATTCGCAGCTCCCGCTCTTGCGAATTGTAAGAAGCGGGGAGAACCTGAAAATCGTAGGGAGAAGTCGAATAAAAAAGGAAACGAAGCCTACCACAGAGAATCAAATCATTAATGAACGGAAGCGTATTTTTCTCGAACACCTGCTGTCGCTGGAAAATGGGCGACATTGCGCGTTTGAGCGAGAGAGGGCCTGAAGACTGCCATGTGGGACCTCCACTTCCGGCATCCGATATTCCGCTCATTCATTTCTGAGCCTATATCCCTCCCACCTGCCTTTCCCACCCCGCTCCCCCCCGTCCTGCCACTCTTCCTTTCTCTTGCTCTACACGCACCCTTCATCCCTCGTCCCACCCCCACTGACACTCACCCATTCAATCATCAGTCACTCCCCTTCCGTCCTTTTCCCATTCTATCAACCATTCTTCCCCACCCCCGTTCTCCTCTAGTATTTCACACACTCTCTCCCATACGCTCCTATTTTCCCCCTCTACATTCCTACACTCATCCAACACATGCACCCACGATTCCTCGCTGTCCCCGCACCTCCTGCACCTTTTCCTTTCCTCCCAAACTCATTCTCTCTCTCCTTTCATACCATCTCCTATCTGAACCTCGCTAACCTATTCCATCTTTCCTCACTCCACCCCTTTCTCAGGTACTCCGGTAGTCCCTCTGGCCAAATTCCCTTGTACCATTTGTTCGTCTCCGATTTCATAATTCCGGTCCATGTCTCCTTCCTTTGCATATCTTCTTCCTTTCCACTTCCATCCTCCTCCCCTTCATTCTTCTTACCTTTATCACCCATTCTCCTCCACCTTATACAGTCTCCTCTCCTCTTCCCATTTCGACACCTTCGTCCCTGACGCCCTCCCCTCAATTTCCTCTAAGCATCTCCTTGCTATGCTGCTTCCTTTCCCTCCTCTCAGCTTCTCCTCGAATTTCCATGCTCTCTTCATCGCCCTTGACCTTAGCTTCTCCCTCTTCAACTCTTCTCTGATCATGTAGCCTGGCACTCCCTTACTCACTCCCAACACCCACTTCATGTATCTCTCCTGCATCCTTTCCATCGTTTCCCTCTCTTTCCATCCCCAGATCTCGGCCCCATAGCCCATCACCGACCATACCAGCGAGGCAAAGAGCCATAACCTTCTACTCCAATCGTCCTTGAATCTCCTCTTTCCTATTCCCCACACTGGGCCCATCGCCTTTCCCGCTTTCTCCACTCTACTTTTCACTTGCCTCTCCTGCCCTCCATTCTTCCTGAACCAGTAACCTAGGTAGCTAAACTCGTCCACCTCCTCCACCTCCCTCCCAGCCATTTTCCATTTCTCTTTTGGTCTCCTCTCTCTTCCCGCTCCAAACACCATCACTTTCGACTTCTCTGCATTTATTATCAAGTCCTTTTTTCCCATGTACTCCCCCATAAATCCCATCATCAATTACATTCCCGCTTCATCCTCTGCCAGCACCTCCATGTCGTCCGCGTACGCTAGTGAAAAGATTTTCGACGCCCCTAGCTTTACTCCACCCTTCCATTTCTTCCTTAGTTCGTCCTCCAGATCATCCAGCAAGATGTTAAATAGGATCGGGCTCAGTGGGCACCCTTGCCTCACTCCCCTCGCTGTCTAGAACTTCTCCGACATCTTGCATCCAATGCGAACTTTGCTTCCCGTCTCCCTGTACATCTCCTTCGTTCTTTCAATCAACCCCTCCGAAATACTTCTCTCCTTCATTGCCTCCCACAATCTCTTTCTGTTCACCGAGTCAAACGCCGCTTTCAGGTCTATGAAACAGGCCACCAACTTGCCTCCCTTTTCCTTCATCTGCCTGTTCACCAGATAATTTAAGACAAAGATGTTATCCATTGTTCCCATTCCTCTTCTGAATCCCGTTTGATTCTCCGGCACCATTCCTTTCTCTTCTACCTCTTTCTCTATGGCCCTCGTCAGCTCTGTCGCATAGATTTTATACAGCGTTTGCATGAGTGTAACTCCCCTGTACTCCTCTACTCCCTCTCCTTCTCCCTTCTTCACTATCGGCGCTAACAGCCCATCCTTCCACTCTACAGGCCATCCCTCCCCCTTCCAGACCTTGCTGCATATTTTCCACGCTACTCTTTTTATCCCCCCCCCCCCTCCTTCCATACTTCGTTATCTATTTCATCCTCCCCTGCCGCTTTCCCCCTTTCAGCTTCTTAATCGCCCGGTCTACCTCCTCGTATGTCATTCCCTCCACTTCCCTCTCTGCCAACCTCCTTCCCATCCCTACCACTGTCTATTCCACTCCTCCCAATAATCTCATAAAATATTTCTTCCAATCCTCCAGACCTATCCGTTCGTTTACGCTTTTCCTTGCTTTTCTCTCCCTGTTCACCACCTCCCACACCGTTCCCGCCTCCACTGCAGCCTTCACCGCCGCTTCAAACCTCTCCAACTCTTCCTTCTTCTTCCTGCCGCAAAGCTTGCTGTATTCCGCCTTCCTTATCCTGTACTCTTCTCTGTCTACTTTGCCCTTCTTTGCTTCTCTCAGCGCCATTCTCACTTCTTTCTTCTTCTCTACACATTCATCGTCCCACCATTCCTTCTTCCCTCTCCTTCTCTTTTTCCTCCCCTTCTCTATCTCCTCCTTCAGTGCCCTAACCCTAGCCTTTACCTCCCCTATTATTTCGTCAGCCGACATCTCACCCCATCTTACCTTCTCGAGCTCTTCCCTTAATTCTGCCTTCTCCGCCTCTCCCCAGAGAGATATTTTGATCGGTTTCTTCTCCTTGCCTTTATCCATTCCACCTGGTCTTCTCCCCCCCCCTCAGGGTCATCACTAACGGAAAATGGTCCGAAACACACTCTTCCCCAATCACCAGGTTATCTATAATATCCCTTCCTCTCTCGTCTGTGATTACATAATCTATCACAGATCTACTCGTTCCCTCTTCTCTGGTCCATTCCCCCTCCTCATCTCATTTACAATTTCCATTCCGAATCGACCATCCTGATTCATCTAGTGCATTCAGTAGAATTCTCCCCTCCTTGTCCACTGCTCTCATATCTTTTGACTTCCGCGACTCTTTCTCCTCCTCTATATCCCCTTCGAACAGCCCTCCTCTAGTGCCAGTTGACGCATTGAAGTCCCCCCTAATTATCGTTGTAATCCCTCTCTTTCCTCTATCGTTGTAATCCATCTCTCTCCTAATCCACTCTATCTTCTTCGCCATATCCCTATTTACATAAACTCCCACTATTTTGCAGGCCCAGTCCTTTATTTCTATAATTCCCTCGATCCAATCCTCCCTCTTCTCCACCCCCTCCCACTCTCCTCCGCTGCATAGCTCACCCTTGATCCCCATCTGCATGCCTCCCTTCGCTCTCCCTTTCTTGTGTTCTCTCGTCGCCAGCCGCACCTTCCACTTGAAATCCTTCGATAGCTTCCTTCGAACTCTATCCCAACCTCTCTCTTCCAACCATGTTTCCATTAGCACCACAACATCGTTTTCCTAAAGCCTCCTCCAGAAATCCTTATCCTTTCCCTCCAGCCCCTTCACGTTCCAGAATATAACTCTAACTTTTGCTCTTTTACTCCCCTTTCTAGCCACCCTCCTTAATGTTCCCCCGACGCTTGTTCTCCTTCTTTTCCTTTCTTGGTCTCTTCTTGCACCTCCATAGCCTCCGCTTCCTTATTTCCATTTTTTCCCTGCTCTCTCAGCTCTGGCATTCTCTATTCTTCTCCCTTTACATTATACAGCTTCTCCGTTGCCTCGTCGTACAGGCATGGCACTCCGTCAACCCATATCATCCCTCGCCTACTAGCTACTCTACTGTTCGTCTGTGTTTCTTTCCACCATCTCCACCTTCTCCAGGTTCCACAACATTTTTCTCTCCTTTCGAGTTCTATCATGGTCTACTACCTCCTGTCTCCCTTTAAGGCTTGCCCTACTTCCCATGGTCCATCCTTTTTGCTCCTCGTTCTCCAGTTCCACCACAACTGATCCACTCCCCTTTTTGCCCACCCCCCCGAATTTCTTAACCCCTTTGACAAGAACTCCCTGCACTTGCATCACCTCTGCGAATAATTTTTCCACTTCCTCTCATCCATCCCCAATCCCTAGCTGAATTTTCCTTACGATCAAGTTCTTTTTTCTTCTCTCCCTTTCTTTCTTTTCCTCTTTCCACTCCAGATCCCACACTCTTCTCTTCAACTGCTCGTTTTCTTTACTTGCCTTCCCTGCGCTCACTGCATTCCCGTTACTCTCTTCTCCTCCCATCCTCAATCCCTTTACCAACTCCTCCAGCTCATCCATCCTACTCCCCTTCTCCTCTAACCGTCTGAGTCTGACATTCACTTGGGCTATATCGGTTTTTTGCTCCTTCCTCATCTCTATGACTGTCTCTCCTATATCCATTATCCCTTCTTGCATTCGCTTTTTTTCCTCCTCCCATTTATTCTCCCACTTCTTCCATTTCTCATTCATTACCCTTATCTCTCCTCTAATTCCCTCTCCCTCTTCATTCGCTTTTTTCAGTGCCCCCACAGTATCTTCCCTGAAACTCCGCAACATCTCCTCTATTCTCTTCAATCTCTCTTTATCTGCTCTCTCGCTGTCCTCTTTCCTCCTTTTCCCATTCTGTTCGCCCTCCTCATCATCTTGTCTTCCTCTTTTTCCGCTCTCACTTTCATTATCCTCTGTCTCGCTCGCTCTTTCCTCCTCTCTCTTTTTCTGCCAAACCCTCAGAAGTGGTGACGCATTTCTCCCCCCTGCCGTCGCTCTCCTCAACCGCTCAGCATTCGTCCTCCTACCTCTTCTCTTCGCCTGAGCTCCCTCTCCCCCACTCATCCCCCCGTCCGATCCGTCCGAAAACTCCGCTGGCGACTCATATACCGACTCGTTGCATTCCGGCGCTCCCCCCTCTTCGTTGAGGCCGAGCATCTCCGTCCCATTCTGATCGCCTTCCTTCTCACTCTTTCCCCCTTCATAACCCGCTTTTCCGATGTCCATTTCCTTCGTGGATATCATCGTCCTGTACAAGTGGCTCATCTCTCTTCCTGGTTCGCCTTTCGGCCACCTCCTCCTACTGTCGCCTCTGTGCCCACCCGCCTTTTTCCCGCCAGTACCTCTCTCCCCGCAGCCCCGCTTACCGCGCAAAACCCCACTAACCCTTTCTACCTATTTGCCCTCTCTTACATTCTCTTCCTCTCTTCACTCTCACCCCTTCACACTTTTCTCTCTTCCACACACCCCCAACCACACTCTCACACACGCTTCCACCTACCTTTCAAAACTAACCTCAAATACCTGGTCTTATTTCCCACACTCTTTCCAACTCCACAACTTTCACACACCCCTTTCACTCACTCCCACTAATTTCTTCTGCTACTCTCCCCTCTTCCCAACCCGCCAACCCTCTCAAAACTCCACCAATATTGCTTGACAGCAAAAAATAATATCCCTTACCTATCCCACTACTATAACCTCGCAGTCCGGAAACGGAAGCATTGATTATTCACTTATCTTCCTTGCTTGAAAGAGTACGGAAGAGAGAAAGAGAGGTAGGGAAAGAGACAGGTCAACTGGCGAAAAGAGTTTCACGGGTCTTTTTATCATTTTCGGGCTTACAAATATCCAATGTTGTCATTCCGCGCACAAACACAGCGGAAATGTAACGTCACAGAAGCCGGCAACGCAAGCGATATATATAGATATAGTGGACTCTCGGAGTAGAGATTCTCAGCGCGGAGATATATTGAGGAGTGGAGTCGGAAGATCGCGTCTACCTTCTAAAATATAAGGGATGGATAAAAATGTTTTAGATGAACTTTGTTTCATATTTATGAATAAAAATTATGGAAGAAAAAAAAAATTTTTCATCAATTGGATTAGAAGTTACCCTTCCTATTTCATAGTAATTGTTTGAATTAAATTATGTTGTTATGAAAATATAATGACTCAGATTTTTAACTATTTTTTAACATTATTTGAAATTGATCGGACATCATTGGTGCGAATTTTATTTGAATTGAGCTGCTTCGACTAAGTACTATGTGAACGTCTAATCACAGCTCTCAGTAGTCATCATAGCGCACCAAACACAGGATCGTGTGATTCTGGAAAGCATTGCCACGCAAGTCAGGATATTGGAAACGGACACCTGTCGTCGGGACTTCCATGACTACGCTGTGGTTTTAATTTTTTTCTGGTTACCATTTAATTTGTGTAACACTATCTAATCCAGACTCCAAGATTTTGGATCGTTCTCCGTACATTCTGTAACGGAGGTATTTATTTGACTTTGTGGGACCACTGCATCTTTGTCTACAAGGCTGAGACTGGTGAGTGGTGGATTTTTTTTTTGTGAATTTTGTTCGATAAGGAGCGAGTTTGAATTTTGTGTTAATTACTGACGTTTTGGTCCGTGGAGATTGACGCCATTTTAAAATTTGAATGACACTCGCCCCTTGTTCTGTAGAGTTATTTTGTCGCGGGTGCAAATTTTTTCTTATTATTCTCAGTTATTGGGAATTTTGATTGGCTTTTCTTAGTTGAATTTAGTGATTCTGATATATTTTACATTAGAAATATTGGACTCTCGTTTCGCCTTCCGTTGTAGTTGCAATATCGATTTCTGAATACCTCGGCGGATTATCTCTCTCGAGGCCATTTGTATTTTCCTCTAGAATTTAGTCTTATATTTTTCGATCTCCGTTTGCAAAATTTTTATCGTATTTATTCGGAAAAATTATCGGTCGACGATATTATCTTGGATTTCATTCTTATTCTCGCCGTTTACTTTGTCACGCCAGATTCTCGTGGCACTTGTATATTCCTTTACCGTGCTAATTTTGATTCTTTATAATTTTGAGTAGTTATTTTATATTTTGACTTTTATAGTGCCTAATTTTGACTTTGATACTTCTATTTGACATGTATTTTATTGATTAGTACGTCGTGGTTAGGGGAATAGCATTGTGTCGAGTTTAGTCGTCCATTTATGTTGTTTCGTTATTTATGTTTGTACTTTCGCCGAGAATTGAGGCCCGAATGTAATAGAAAATGATGCCGGTGATTGTTAGAGTCGTTCAATTCGTTGTAGTGACGATTTCTTCTATAAAATTGTTATTATTTTACCCCCCAATTTGAATTATCATTTTTAATAGTTTGGACCTAGTTATCTCACAATAAGTCCGGGCGCAGCATCTTTGGGACCCAGCCGTCTCAGCGGTTGTTATAGTGAGCTATCGGTAGCTGCTCCTTTTGTCAGTTAACATTTTCTGTTTTTGGAGGTTTTAGGAGAAAACGTTCTGGTGCTCAACTTTTTGGAAAATTTTGTTATGCTGGACGCAGCCCATGTAGGGTTGTACAAAACGGCCACTCATTGAGCGGAAGTCGGCACAAAGTCAGCTGATGATCGGCGCCGATCATATTTTATATTATATTTTTCACACCTGCTCGATTGCGATCATCGGCCGGAGAATAATATTTAATCAGGGCCCCGATGATCGGTGAAGACATCATCGATCAATGAACGGCCGATCATCGGGACCCGATGATCGGTTGGGACATCATCGGCCAATGAACGGCCTTTCATTGGGGCAATGATCGGGCAACCGACTTCCGCCCAATGCTAGGCCGTGTTGCAAAGGTCGGCAAACCCTACATGGGAGAGGATGTATATTTGTCCCGTCTTCCGCAGAGGGCAAAATACGTTACAACGGATGTAAACATTGAGTGAACCAACGCAGGCCCCGATCTGGCATGCCCTAATCAGGTATGCCGTATTCCGACCAATTCAGGCCCTGATCTGGCATGCCGTAATAAGGTATACCGTATTAATACCTTATTAGAGCCTGTCCAGCGAAAAGGCCTGTCGTAGAAATTTTCTACTCGAGGTCGGCCACCTTGAAAAGAGGTAGTGAGAGTGAAAAAACGGGGTGAACATTCATAGGTATAGATCGGCTCAGAATTACTGCCTGAATTGATTTTCATACACCCGTAGAGATTTTTGTTCACCTTCCCAGCCAGTGACGCGTGGTGACATTGTCGATACGCGTCGGTCTTCCTTGAAAACTGTCTCATAAGGCTTTGTACAAATTGCAATGTTAATTTTTTTCTTCACATATATCGGTGTGGACAGTCGAGTTGGGGCTTTTGAAATACATTTCGAAATTACTTAAAGAATATCCTCTAAAAAATTAGTCTCTACGTACTATTTCCTTTTACTCCCATATAATTGCTACAGAAGTTCCTTGAGCGAGAAGTGAAATTTCTCCTACAGCGTGTTTCATTCAAATTACAGCCCACTTGGGCATCCTTAATTGTACATTTCTCTATGAAACGCTTCTATAGGTAAGCGAAATGAGAGCAAATTAATGGCAGCAGGGTTCCGTAGATTTTGAAATAAGCGTTTATTATGTTGAGGATGCGTGGGTTTACTGGGCGATTAATACAGTGAAGATGAACGTCATGTCGGTTTGTTGTCAATTGATGCCTTTTTATCATAAATATATACATTGTTATAATTGATTATCTCATTGTCTTCACCGCGGTCTCCACTGCTACTAATGTTCGTAATATAACGTCTTATCTCTTTAATCAACTATCAGCGATTGTTCTGCCCTAGTAAACTTTTTTGCCTTAATTTAAGAACAATTACATTTTCTCACATTAAGAAAATGAATGTTTAAAAATTGTTCAAAAATAAATTTCATTTTTTTAGGAAAATTTTTCGTAGGGAAATGTTAAGATCATTTCAATGATGTGTAGAATTTGAAATAACGAGATAACGATGACAATAATCACTTATAATGCCATAAGAGTTTAAAAATTACCCGGCATTTACCGATAGATTCGTTGCAACCAAATGAGGGAGTCAAGTTTTTCAGCTTAAAAAATCACAAGCGCGAGTGATTTTTCTTGAAAAACTTGATGAATTTATTTGTTTGCAAAGAACGTTGAGGGAAATGCCAGATTATTTTTTCGACCCAAATGTCGGACAATAGAATCGCACCATGAAATGAAACTCACAGTTAAGAAATAAGAATCTCATGACTGGATAATGCTTTGTTTTTTATATAGCAACTACCGGAGGGAATTATCAAAAAATCATAAGCATCATACGATATCTACCACGTGATATCGAATGGTGCAATTTTATTGGTCGATATTTGGGTCGGAAAAATAATCAGAAAGATTTAGCATTGTATGACGGAAACATCCATGTTATCCCCTTACATTTGTCCATATGTATGGACAATTAGTTTTTTTTTTCATAAGATCGACTGTAAAATTTTCCGTTTCCCAATAAGAGCATTGTAATCAATCAAATTGAATTTCATATGATTCAAGAAGTCCAAAAATCCAATGTTTAAAATGGTTCGTACGCAAGCGCACGTGTTGGTGTGTGTAATAGTTTTGTAAAACTTTATCTCACATTAGGCATTAGTGTATCCGTGAAATTATTTTTTTTTCTCATATCTAAGTATTGTTGAAACTTGTTCGCAAATATTAATAAATATTCAATTAATCTATTAATTTTTTAGATTTGTGTGTGGTTTTAAAAATTATTTTTCTACGAAAACTGAACAAAAAATGTTATGAAATACTGCAATCATAGCTTAAAATAGTATATTTCGTCACTAGGCCGTTAGGAACTTTTCTGGCGATTGCGAGATTACAGTCCACGGCGAAGCCGAAGAATGCAAACGCAATCCTGAGAAAAGTTCTTTTCGGCCGAATGACGAACAATATAACCGCTGCGCGGTCGTAAAACCGTGCCTACCAACTGGATGATGAAAAATTTGTATCGAATGCCTGTTGAATAAGTTGGAAGATGAGAGTGACCACAATATCAATAATCGCTGTCAATATATGAGAAAGATTGGCCAGAATTTGTACTTTGAAAATAGCGAGTTCTGGGTATTCGCGAAATTGGGATGATAGTTTCGATGCTATACTGTTGAAATAAAAATAATTAATATGAATGTTGAAATAGTTTTTCTGATGGCCGCATAGGAAACGTATTGCTAATTTATCAGTAAAAATAAGCATATTATATGTAGTGAGAGAACAGTTCCCCACCTGTTCTTTTATCAGTTTGTCTTACATTTAATTAAAAAACTCTGTCAACCTCATTTCAATAGGAATTAAAATACCACTATTACAAAAGAATGTTAAGTACTAAAAATGTTTTTTTTTTGCAAGAAATTTTTCCATTTGTAGAAGATGCGAAGAGTTTTCAAGGCTTCAGCAACCACACCAAAAGATCCGACATGTTAACGTGGGCGCAGGATGTCCATCCACTCTAAGACCCGTCTCTTCGTATATATCCATTTCTCACCGCTTTCAAACGTAAGAGAATAAAAAAAAAATCAAAATGCAAAATAGCCAACAAAGAGAAACAGAAGTTACACACACATTCGCCGAGTGTATTCGTAAAATCCATGGCGATAGTGTTTCTCCGTTGTATATCTCATGACTTTCCATACCGAGATACATTTGAGCTCTCTGCACAGCATCATACAGGCGCTTTCGTTTTATTTTATTCTCCTCAGCTTGACGGTGGAATTAAACCAGAAGCGCCTACACACGCATTCGGTTTCGACTGGTTAGGCAGAAATGTTTCACCCTGCCCACGCGCCCTCGTTACACTTCGTGCATATTATTTATCATTTTTTTATTTCTCTGGTATAGTTACGAGTACTTTATGCTTTTGACATAAATGGAATTATTACTTTGGGATTCTTTTGTTTCATTTTTTTTAGCCATTTATCAATTACCGTTTTTATTTAATATGATATGATAGATTAATAATATGAGTCTCTAAGTACAACATTTCCGTTTACTGGTATTTAGATAAATAGTCAACATTCGTGAAATACAATACGTAAGTCCTATCCACTAATTGATTCAGTGTTCAGCTAATATTGTAACTAACGTATTAATTAATAATTAAAGTTCTGCCATGTCTAAAAGTGCATTGAGATGAGTGGGAACCCAACTGATTCCGTTATGGCATACAAATAAGACATTTCCATCGACGTACGCCTGTATATTGCCAACTTTATACACTTGTTTAGCGTCCCTTTGTCGGTTTGGAATTGGCATAAAGAGTATACCTCGCTCTTCGCATTTTTTCTGTACCAGGTCTTTGAATCCCTGGGGTATCTGCGACGCTGTTCGTACAGCTTCTGCAAGCCTCTGCAAATGTAGATTGTAAAAAATATTATTAATCAATAGATTCATTGGGATATTGAATAATGTCATTGAATTTTGTATGGGATTTTTACCTCGATCCTTGGCTGTGCTGCTGCTGGAATTTGTGTCATCGTTGGTTGTATACGTTCTAAACTGGTTAAATAGGATACTTGCTCCATGGCACCAGGTTGGTGACCCTGGGGAGTTGATACGGCACGATTCATCATATCTAACGCTTTTTTGAAGTGATCTATAAGTAAGCGATTGCATATATTAATTCAAATTTATGAATTCACGTCATCGGGATGAACATATTCATTCATTCATATTCCTTCATCTCGAGTTGTAGATGGGTGTTCTTTCTTTGCAAATTAACTGATGAAAATATTAAAAATGTAAGAGTCATTTCAAACGAGTAATTCTATGGTGACTGAACAAAATATTCCGTAAAACGTTGAAAATATGAAGACACAATTATTCTTTGACATTTTCTGCTTTTGGTTACTTATTGATCTGATTTTGATGGTAGAAATCTGTGAAAAATTGGTTCATGACAAGTCATGATAGGCTGCTCAATTCTCACAGATCATGAGAGCTTCTAGGAGCTCCTCCACTTTTTCATGGTATAACTAGTTGTAAATAATAACCGATGTGCGATGGCCGTGCGGTTAGAGCGTAGAGGGTTGGCACATGAGATTCGTGGGTTCGATTCCCAGTCGGGTAAATGCCAGGGGTTTTTTAGAGATAGAATTCGCTCTAACTTGCACAGATTTCATCGTACGAGCGGTAGTCTCGAAACAGACGACTGTACCTGGCCAAGGTTTTTTCCCATGAGGTTTTCCCTTCGGCCCTCGGCGTAATTGCGGTACAGGGGGAACTGGGGATGGGAAATGTAAAAGCCCGAAAGGGTATACATGTGTGGACAAGTTTAGTTTTTTTTTTTAGTTGTAAATAATATGATTCCCATCAAAAATACATATATAAGAACTGTTCTTCACAAAATCTCGAATTTCCGAAATTTCAGGTTTTTTCAAAAGTTGATGAAAAAATCTCCTTCTGAAAAACAATGTCATTTGTGGCGTTAAAATCAGTGAGCAATATAATATTCTAAGCAGTACAAATTTAATGGAAATTAAAAGTGAGTTTTTTTAAATAATCACAATGACAACCATTATGTGGTGAATGGATGGAAAAAATTGGAATTGCAAGGAAATAAAACATCATGAGGTTTGAAACCTCACGAGTTGACATATATAATAAGGAGTTGAGCAGTTGAGTATTCTTCATATGCTGGTAATGCGCGACATCAACTGTCGCTCGTGTCGCCTCAGGCGTTATTCTAACCGTCAAAATTGTAAAAAATCAATTAAGTATACTGAAAAATTCGAAAACTGAAGTTTTGAAAATCTCCCAATGGAAAAAAAACATGGGTTGAACCTTAATCAATCAATGTTTGGCAAAGTTTTTTTCTATTGAAAATTGTTCAGCTTGGCCCTTTATTTGATTTCATTTTCTTTTGTTACATAGACAATTATTCCAAAATTTGATATGGGATATTTTAGTTAAAAAAAAAACAGTTTTCAAAATTTTCAGTTGTAATGATAAAAAAGTGGAGAATTGCTCTTATATTACATCTCATATAGTTATCTTTGCTAATAAATTAACAATATACTACCGAATGATTATTTTTGGAATTATCATTCCTTTTTGTTAATAAGCTTTAATTTTTATTTCATTAAGACCCGGATGGACCATCGAACGCGATCTTTTGTTCAAATTTTATCTTGTTAGTCCAAAATATATTGAAAATTTTTTCAGAAACTTCCGCTCTTCGATCATTTTTCGTTTCGTTCTTCTGAATCTTTAGATATAGAAAGAAATATTTTTCAAGAATTAGAGCCTGAAGTTTAATTCGAGATTTTCAGCACAATCCAGAGTGTTGGATTCGAAATTCTTCGCCTTTATATAAAGTGTTGAAAAATGTTTGGAGAACAAATTTCAAACAAATTCTGTGCTTAAAAGTTTTCTCAATGTTGAAAAATGGCGGTCGTTTGGTTTTTCTGGAATGCCAAGGCAAGTAAAAAACCCTATATCGCAACAAGCCGGAAATAATTGAAATACTATATCCAATAGCTCCGAAACTAATCGTTCGATTTAAATCTCTGACTCAACGACCTTCCCAACCCTCAGTATCCTCCGACCTTCCTAGTCACCAAAACCCTCATGACTTTTGCGAATCTTATGACACTTCTATGATGAAGACAGATAACCTCATAGCAACTCCCTTAGATACCCTCATAGGCAGAGGTGATACTGCTACACGGCGCGTCCCCAGGTGGCGGATAGGGGAAAGCTCGTCCTCTCCCCAGAGACAGGAAGGGTAGGGGCGAAATAAAATAGCCCCCGCGGACCAAACACACTCTTCGATGGACATGGACTTACTTAAGCCAGCCACGTTTACGGTGCAGGGGAGGGATACCCCAGTGCAGGCGTTTGAGAGTGCGAAAGCAGGCTCTCTTACGTCTTCAGCAAGCGACTGCAGCACCTTGGAGGTTGACCACTTGGCCTCCACGGTGTTAAAAACGACAAGTGGGGATCACAGGGGAAATCTCGGTAAGGGTGGTGTTGACTTTGCCAGCGCTGCTGGCGGAAAAATGGCTCTGCCTCAGGCCCAGCCCAACCAGCAATGGAAGGTCGTTTTTTCTAAACTCGAAGGTCTTGTTTTCGGACTGCATGATGTCATCCAGTCTAAAACGAATGTGCACCGGGAGATAAAGACAATGGTCACTTCTGTCTGCAGCACTGTCTGCAGGCTTAAGGAAATTGAAGCCAAACTGAATAGTAATCATGTTGCCACGCGAGAGTCGGACCGAGAGACAGTAGTACCCCCACCTTCAAGGGCACGGCTGGATTCGGAGACGACCATCAAGGACTCAGACGTGGAGGACGAACGGGAGTTTCGAAAGGCCCTTCGGAGGAAGAGGTCCAAAGACTCCCCAGGGACGCCGAACCAAGCCCCAAAAAAGACGAAGCAGCAGACCCCAGCTGGACAGGACATGACGCCTCGGGTGCCACCCCAGAAGGCCACCACTCAGCCCGAATGGGTGCTGGTCACGGGGAAAAGGAAAGGACACCTAACCAAGCCTGAGGAGAGGAGAAACGAGAGGGCCAGAAGAAGAAAACCGCAGAGCAGAAAACGCAGGGGGCCAAAGTCAAGGCTTGACGCCCTGATTGTGCGCCCAGTCGATAAAGCTCAATATTGTGACATCCTCCGACGTGTTAAGAAGGAGGTCCCAGCCGAGCAAACCGGCTGTATTCAGAGCGTTCGCCGCACGACGACAGGCGATATGCTCCTAACACTCAGGAAGAAGTCATCGGATGGAGCGCCCTTGCTCCACAGGACAATTGCAGATCTCCTCGGGACGGAAGCCACAGTGGTGAGTAAGGAACCCCAGGTCGATCTAGAAATCAGGGATCTCGACGAGGTAACCACCAAGGAGGAAGTTCTGGCGGCTCTTCGCACGACCGTGGGGAATGAGATTCCCATCGACCCTGGAGCTGTGAAAGCCTTACCGAGGGCGTTTAGAGGGATCCAAACTGCGATGGTGACCCTTCCAACGAGGACGGCGGGGAAAGTCCTAGGGGATCAAGCAAGGATCAAGATCGGCTGGGTCAATTGCCGAATCTTGAAAGTGGAGAGGCCACTTAAATGCTTCAGATGCTGGCACTATGGTCACCTGGCGATGCACTGTAAGAGCGAGACCGACAGGTCGCGACTCTGCGTCAAATGTGCTGAACCTGGCCACAAGGCCGTCGACTGCACAAGGGCGCCTAAGTGCGCGGTCTGCGCCGAATCTGCAGGGAAGTCGAAGAACTCCGACCACATGGCGGGTAGCGGTAGGTGTCCGGCCCTCAAGGCGGCACTTCAGAAGTTGACCAAAGCGAAGTGATGAAAGTACTCCAAGTAAATCTCAATCACTGTGAAGCAGCACACGACCTTCTTAGGCAAACGGTGCGTGAAATGGGAATAGACCTGGTGTGCATCTCTGAGCCTTACCTGCAATTTGACAACCATTGCTGCTTCAGCGATAGGAGCCAGAGAGCGGCCATCTGGAACTGTCGGACTCGACCAATCGAGATCTCCAACAAAGACAAGGAGTATGGGTTCGTGCGAACCAGAGTAGCGGACATATATGTCTACAGCTGCTATGCCCCGCCGAGCCTTTCCATCGAGGAGTTCTCCGCCTTTCTCGACCGACTGTCAAGGGATGCGAGGCTGCACTTTCCCGTGGTCATCGCGGGAGACTTCAACGCCTGGGCACTCGACTGGGGGAGCAAGGAGACGAACGCTAGAGGACAGGCCTTGCTTGAGGCCATAGCTCTGCTGGACCTTGTCCTGCTTAACACCGGCGACGAGTCAATCTACGCCAGAGGAGCAGCCTGCTCGATTGTGGGCCTCACCTACGTGAGTGGGAGCCTCGCAAGGGGTGACCACTCATGGGAGGTGAGCGAGGCGTACACAGCGAGCGACCACCGCGCCATCTGCTGGGAGTTGGCTACAGACCGGAGGGGTAGACAGAACACACCCAGGGCCAAGGTTTCTGGTTGGAAGGTAAGCATGTCCAAGCTCCGGTGGAAATGCTGCTGAGAAGGCAGCTGCAATGATGTGCCGTGTCAAACGGGCCTGCGATGCCACCATGCCCAAAAACCATCATCCACTCGACGTCCACCGGTCTACTGGTGGAATGAGGAGATTGCGGCACTACGGAGGTGCTGCAATTCGGTTAGGAGGCAGGCGCAGCGCGCTCGGAGGAGGCCTGATGGGATGGCACTGCAGGAAGCCTACAAAACAGTGCGCTGCAAGTTTGTGCAGGCAATTAAGACCAGCAAAGCCGCTGCTTGGAAGGAGCTTATTGGCCAGGTGGAGGACGATCCGTGGGGCAGACCGTACACGGTGGTCATGGCGCGACTCAAATGTCAAACCATGCCATCGCCTACGTGTCCTGTCCTGATGGAAAAAATTGTCCGGGAACTTTTTCCCAGTCAGATGGATTTCAGGCGTACGACCGCGCGGAGTGAGCTGCTATCTATACCTCTGGTGATCAAAGAACAGCTGTTGGAGGCTTGTAGCCGTATAGGGTGCTGCAAAGCCCCTGGTCATGACGGAGTCCCAAACGCAGCGCTGAAGACCGCCATACCGACCCTACCGGGGCTTTTCCTGGAGGTCTACAACACCTGCCTCGTGGAGGGTGTCTTCCCTGTAATGTGGAAGAGGCAGAGGCTGGTTCTTCTCCCGAAGGGAAAGAAGCCGCCGAACGAACCGTCGTCGTACCGCCCACTCTGCATGCTGGACACAGCAGGGAAGGTACTGGAGAGAATCGTGCACAGGAGAATTGAGGCCATCATAGACCCACTGTTAGCCGGAAGCCAATTTGGGTTTAGACGGGCGTTCTCAGGCGCTCGGTGGTGCAGGGGCAGCAAAAGGTACGGCCTGGTGGTGGCGTTGGACATCCGCAATGCATTTAACTCCGCCAGGTGGTCCTGCATAGTGGATGCACTGGACAGGTTCGACGTACCGGAGTACCTGCGGAGAGTGGTTGAAGACTACTTCACCGACAGAACTATTGTCTACGATACGTGTGAGGGTCCTGAGGAGTATAGGGTCACAGGGGGCGTACCACAGGGCTCGGTGCTGGGCCCGCTTCTATGGAACTTGATGGACGATGGTCTACTGAGGGTAGCCCTACCCCCGGAAGTGACACTGGTGGCGTTTGCGGATGACGTTGCGGTGGTGGTCGTCGGTAAACACCTTGACGACATACGCCTGGCCTTTGAGAGGGCCCTTGAGTCGGTTCACCGCTGGATGGAAACCGTTGGGCTATCCCTGGCGGAACACAAGACGGAGGCTGTGCTGGTCTCGGGTAGGAGGACCTTGGAGACGATCAAGCTGCGAGTCGGGGACTTCGAGCTCACTTCCAAGCCGTACATTCGGTATTTGGGGGTGATGATCGATGCCCGACTCAATTTCAAGCAGCAAGTGGAGCACGCCACTACCAAGGCCTCTGGTGTTCGGGCGGCACTCTCTAGATTGATGCCGAACGTTGGTGGACCTAGCCAGCGAAGGAGAGCGCTGCTGGCATCGGTGAGCACATCGGTGCTAACCTATGGCATTGCCATTTGGTCGGAGGCGCTTCACCCCCAGGTAACCAGACGTAGGATGGCGACGGGGTACAGACTCAGTGCAATCAGAGTGGCCAGCGCCTACCGCACGGTATCCGATAACGCGATTGGGGTCATCGCTGGGATTCTACCGGTTGAGATCCTGGCAGAGGAACGAAGATGTTTATACCGACGGAGGGAGCGACTACCATGTGATGCATCCCAAATCAGAAGTGATGACACAGCTGTGACGGAGGTGGCTGCTGGGGCTAGACACAGAAGCATTGCCAGCTGGCAAGCCAAGTCGAGTGGCTCGCGGAAAGGAAGGTGGACTCACCGCCTTATCCCGGATGTGAGCATATGGATCGACCGACAGCATGGTGAGGTGAATTTCCATCTCACCCAGTTGCTCTCGGATCATGGATGTTTCTGGGAGTATCTACAGATTTGGGCATGAAGATTCGCCAGATTGCCCGGTCTGTCCAGGGGTCACCGAAGACGCTGAACACGTCTTCTTCTCCTGCCCGAGGTTTACACCTGGCCGCTTGCGCTGGGAGGGGAGGATAGGCGGGCCAACATCGCCCGGAAGGTTGGTCGCAGTCATGATCTCGAAGGCTGATGCCTGGGAGGCCACGAGTGACTTTGCGGCTGAGGTAATGAGAGAGCTCCGTAGAGATGAGCTCCAAAGAAGGGAAGCAAGCGCTGCTAGCAGGGTGAGTGAGTGACGAACTTGTCTGATTGCAGGGAGAGCGGACCAGGGCCGATGATGTCTCCCCCCGCGAGGTAATGCCTGCCGGCGGTTCCGCGGGGGAGGCAGGGACAATGGGACGAGAGGAAGAAAAAGGGGGTTTACTCAGTAAGAATCTGAGATCTGGCCTTGACTGACCAAGGCCAGAACCTATGCAAGGTTCCCCAAAACCTCTATAAAAAAAAAAAAAAAGATACCCTCATGACAATTACCGTAGCAATCCTCATAATACCCCTATAGCAACTCCCATAGTCTCCATCCCTCGGGGCAACCCGCTTAATGACTCCCTTACTTCTAATTCTTTTTTTTTTAACTATCAATGAATAAAAGAATCTAAGCTAGGCTGAAGATTGAAATTTCTATTCAATAAATATAACAACTCGGCGGAATAGATAGGTGACATTAAACATTTCATCAATTTTTTCATAGAGGAAATTAATACTCTTCCACACATCCTATCACTTGAAGTTAATGGTGTTGAAATAAATTCTTTCAGCCAACATTGTATGTATCTCCTGACTGCTATACGCAGACATCTTCGACATCTTGTAAGAAACAAAATTGAATTTCACAGAAATTGAAAAAAAGACTATTTCTGTCACCTTCATCTTCGAAACCAATTGAGGGAACATTCGGATAAATTATTTAAGCCGTCATTCAATTGATTCGGATGTTTTTTGTTCAGTTGTGAAAAAACAGAATTTAGAAAGAAATTGAAAATAAAATAAAATGGATGGATGAAATCAATTTTTATTAATGGCGATGGATAGGGCCCAATTAGACAAGCTTCGATTAGGTAGAGATGAGGGTAAGCAATTAAAGGAAATCACTAGAAAATTAACACATACACATACACATCCATACATATGTTCGGACCGGGTCTAAAAACTGAACTTTCGAACTCCTTGGGTCATACTGATTTGATATATGACAAGAAATAGGGTATATAAATTTGGTCGATTACAAAGCCTCAATTCGGAAGCAAAAATTGTTAAAAGGGGGTAGAGTGAGACATTAATTTTGGGACATTTGCCACATTTACTAACAGAAAAATTAAAAATACAGAGTTTACCAGCTACCGTGATGAGAAAGAAGCATACATTTGACAGTGAATAACCATATAGAATTAAAACGGACTGTCAACTGTCACCAACAGTACACTTTGTTTGTTTAATTGTTTAATTGTTCAATTGTTTATTATTTTTCGGTAAACTCAACAGATCCCTTGGAATCAATGTCTTGATTTGCTACGCTTCAACAATTTTTCCTCTTTTTTATGTATATTTTTTTGTAACCATCGGAGTGCCCTCGGCATCAGAATTTGAATCCCAAATTTAGAAATAGTGTACACCGACAAAATAACATGCAAACCAAAGATTACGTTCCATACATAGTACATGCGACTATTAATTTCTTATTCGAATGACTGAAGCGTCATACCTTTGACAAGAGGTTCACCCAACAGCTTCTCGTTTAACATTTTCTTCCAGCCCATATACCAATGTGTAATCTGATCATAATTCGGGGAATGATTGAGCCATAAGGCCAGCACCTGCAGCCACTTAGGGAAAAAGAACTTGTCAAGTATTCCCACCATAATATGAGAAGGTATGAGGGTCGCCCACTCATGAACCCAGTTCCACTGGTCCAAATGTTGCTGATGAGGATTAATAACAAACTCCGACAGCGCAATTTGCAATTTGGGAACGATATTCTTGACGAGAAAAGCCTCCATATCTCCATTGGAAAAAACTTTGGCCCAGGGTTGAAGCATGAGCCTAGCAGACCTGTCTGAGGGATGCCAACCCCCCAACGCAGAACCCAATTTCCTTCTAATTATGGGATAGATCAGAGTGTCCATTCGGTTGCCCATTAGAGGCAACCAAGGGTGAATCCACGTGTGGATTGGAACAGTGTCGGTCAAAGGGTTCCACTCCTCGACTTCTAATGTCAATTTGGAGAGGACAAGGAGATCTAAAATATTTTCGAGGATCCAAGATGATAGTAGCGGTGTCCAACACTCAATGAGTTCAATCAAAGGGTCTGATTGCCTGCAAAATAAAACCGTTAAAAGAAATATAGTTACTTGAACCATCATTGTTTCGTCTATCAATTTTACAAATTTTAGAAAGGTTTTGTAAACATTGCAAAACTATTCTTTGCAGACCATTTTCTGAATTGACAAGATGTCATGTTTTTTTTGTAAACCCACGGGCTTTGCAAAGATCTCTAAAGTAGGCTGCATATATATTTTTTTGATTGTATTAAAGAGAATTCATCAAATGGAAATAAATTTTTACTATCGTTTTAAGAGCTGGATAGAAATTTATTGCCAACATGTTTGTTGTAATTAAATAACTAAATGAATGGTATACAGTACCTGTTTTGGAGATAACAAACATCATACACGCTGTACCAAAAATATTTGAAAAAATTCGCTGCAGAATAGTTCTTCTCTTTTTGTCCAAACTTTTGGATAGAATAATGTTAAACAATTGGAGTGGTCTCCTCTCGATACAGTTATACAAACATCATCAAGACGGATTAAAACAAAAATGAAATTAGTCGAGTCGAAGCAGGCATCAACAAAAACGATTTTTTTGGAATCGCCATATCTCCGGAAGCGTTTCGCGGTTCATGCGGAATTTTAGCTCAAATGCTGACTAATGAACCGTTGGACAACAATCTTTTTATAGAAACATAAGAGAAAAAAAGTGGAGAATTGCTCTTATAATCGCACATTATACCTATCATATATGTGTTTTTGCTAATAAATGCAATCTCGTTTCGAATGGTTATTTTCCCTATTATCCTTTTATAAATAAATTTTAATTTTGATTTCATTAAATTTATCGATTCAGTAACCGTGTACTTTTATAACCCAAAATTCAAGTTGGTGGTGTCAAATAAACTTTTTCAGTCATCATTGTATTCGTCTTCTAACTGATACGCAGATATTGTCATGATTTTCTAGGGAAAAAATGGAATTTCGCAAAAATTGAAAAAGCTGTTATTGCTGTCACCTTTATTTTCGAACTCGGTAAAGAGGATATCAGGACAATTTTTTTTCAGCGGCCATTTAATTGATTCGGATGATTTTTTTGAGTTATCGTGAAAAAAACGAATATTCGAAAAATATAAAAAATTGTCTAAACACTGCATTTTCAAAACCCTCGGGTTATACTGAGTTGACATATGACAAGGAATACGAAACTTAAAATTGATCGATTATAAAGCTTCCATTCGGAAGCAAAAAGCATAAGATAAACGGAGGAAATCCCCCATCAAGTTTTCTCCAGTATTTTCGAAGTATTGATTTGCAGTATGTGTTATGTAACTATTTGTTGCCAAAATTAGATGGTAGTCATATTTTGTTACAAACATATAGGCAAAAAATTTCATATATTTCATCAGTACGATTTTTGATAATTAGATTATCATTAAATATTTGAAAGTAGCTGTATGATACTTTTTGTGGGATTTTTACTTCTTTTCTTTGAAGGTGATTCTTTCAATAGCCATAAACTCTCCTAAAACTGCATTCTCGAAAGGAATAAAATCGCGTCAACTAATTTCTTCGCGACAAATGAGAAACGTTGTTTGTTACCTGCAAGTCCACTGCTGAACAGCTCCTCTCATTGATGGCATCCAGGCATTCCAAATAACCTGATCATATGGATTCATTTCATTTCTCGCTGACAGAGTGCTGGTACCAATCTCCAGGATATCCTTCCATTCTTTCATCAAACTCACTGGCAGGTTTGGATCCACCAAGGGATTCCAACCTGCCAGATATTCTTTCAACTTAGGCACCACTAAACTACTCGCTAGTTCTCCCAAGTCATACATCTTGTATTCTTCGTAATACCTGTCTTGAAGTTTTTTGAAGGCTTCAGCTGTTTCTTTCAACGACAATTGCGTGTTCCTGTCTATAAGTTTATCGACAATCGATAGGACATTTTCAAGAGTGTCGATAAGCTTCTCATGATGAGTAACAACCCTGGAAATGTTCTTCTTCTCGGCCTCGAGGATAACAACTCTATCTCCAAGATAACGAGTCTTTCTATCGTTTTGGATTATATCCTGTTCGCACATATCTACTAGAAGATTCAAATTGTGATGAAGCTCTGGAAGAGAAAAATTTACGGGAGATCGTTTGTCCGGCTCTGGAAGAAATTCATCTGGACGTTTTTGCCCAGCAATTGCATGGTAACCACTAAGAATTCTCTGCTCTGGGCCTGTCATGTCGATGACCTTTACTCTACTCAATTCACCTCCAACACCTGCAGATTTGATGTTTGGATGCAATTTCCCATCTTGCAATACCTGATCAACACTTCTGTATTTGTATTTAATCTTCCTCTTGGTGATGGCAGTGTCTGTTTTTCTCCACTGAGATAATTTCACTTTAAATAGTTTTTCTTCGTCATCGTCCTCGTCTTTATGTTTTTCGGGGAATTTCATTTTCTTCTCTGGACCATAGGCCCCAATCGCCCCTCGACCTCTTCGGAGGTGCACTTCGATGGGTGCGGATATTCCTTGCAGCTTTTTACCGAGACCTTTGCCAGGTTCGAACCCCATCTGGAGGAGTAGCTTTGCTCCAATTCCTTTTGTGTGTTTTCCCCAGTGGCCTATCCCGGTTTTCATGAAGGCTGGGTTCATTTGGGTTCTCTTTCGGCGAAGACCGGCGATGTCACCTTCTAAGTGTATAGATAATGACGGCCTCAATGTACCACTTTTCACAATTTCCTCTTCAGATTCGCTGTAACCAAAATAGATAATATATATATTACAAAATAAATATATACATTTTATCGGGGCCTTCAAGGTGACATCAAGTCAATTGGGAAAGTTTCCTATATAATCGGAAAATTATATGAAATTTATTATTTGCCTAATTCGCCTTGAATGGATTGTTCGTATCGAACAGAAAGTCGAATCAAAGAAATTTTTTCGATATTTACTTGATATTTTTTACAATAATGAATTATGGAACGGTCAATAAATTTCAATGCATCGTTGGTCCGTTGATTTGACTGGTTAACAACGCGGAGCAGAATAACATTAGTGGCATGTTGTCAATCAATGTGCCATAGATCGCGCCACACTAGTTTGGAACATTCCCACCCTTCCGTTTACGAAAATAGTCTCGCCGAAACGGAACACGTAAAATCAGATTCAGTATGCTACCGATCATCCAAGTGATAACAACGATGGAGAACATTCAAGGAGGAGTAAGTGGTGATATGGTAAGTCAATTTACTTCTTATCCCCATAAATCCTTCAGCTACCGAACGCTATCTAATCCACCACCCTCTCCTTCACGCTTGCTTCCTGCTTGTATGGCGTGGCTAACCTCCTTGTAGGTAACAAAATCATGGGCCAACCAGGTAGAGAAAGAGGAAGCAGCCATGGAAACGGATCTAGCCAACCTTGACCCTCCAATGGCGGAACAGCATAAGGAGCTGAACGATACGGAGGAGTCGGAACTCCTAGAAAAGCAATCGGGGTTTGTAATATTAGCCCTCCTCTCAGACAATAAGGAGGGAGATTCGCACCTCAGGGATACCAACACCCCTAATAATGAGCGAGTATCTGCCCCATCCCATTGGAATGCAAGGGCAAAATGGCATGAATTTTTATGCACGTGTTTGAACATTTTTTTTTAATTAAAAAAAAATAGAATTAAGAGGTGATGTTTTAGATTCAACAGTCATCGGTGGAAATGAAAGTGGGATGGTCGTGAACTTGAGAGAGAAAAATTTAATCGTCAACTGAAGATTAGAGGAGTCCCATAATGTTTTTGACTGTGAGGCGTTTGTGCATTTTAATTTTACATTGAGAGCGGGCAATATAGAAATGAAAAATTTGAAAATGCATGTCAAGTCAAGTCTATTAACAACATGATAATATTTACCGATTGTTTTCCAAGCAATATTTCCTCTTCAAGAAATTTATGAAGGGTACGAATTTTTTTTTCATAAAGTGCATTGAAAATAATCCCATCAGGCACAACCCCTCCAAGACCAGACGTAATCAAAATGAAAGCTCAGAGCAGCTGCCGGAAGAACGCACCACCTGAGAGGCAGATGGCACCACTGCCACAGGACCCAGAGCTACCAGCTATCGATTAACAGGCGAATCAGAAACTTGGCTTTCCAACGATAAGCAAGAGACCGGCAAGTCAGAGTACTGATTTACCGACACCAAGCATACAGGCCCCCTATCAGCACGAAAAACTATGATTCTTCCTCAAGGGAGGCCACACATACAGCGACTGCTACCGAGGAACACTCGCCGCAAACGAAGGGAAACTGCCACACAACCTGCAATTTGGCTTCGATTGTGGCAGACGAGAGTAAACTATGAAAATTTGCTCCAACTGCAGAGACAGATGGCGTGCTAGAGGCCCATATATCCCAATCTTGGGCACAAACGTGCCAAGGGAGGCCCTGCACTCTCACCGAGACCGAATCACAGACATGCTGGCAGATGTCAGACATGCAGCCGTTTTACAACTCCAAACGGCCGGAGTACTGCCCAGCAACCGAAACCAAAGGATTTCACTCCAGGCATCGATCTGCAGAAGTCATCTATCGAGCTACAGGACACTCTTGGGAATAATGTCGCTGTCTCATACTGGCTACCGAACACTCTTGTAAAACGGGTTCGCTTTCGCATTCAAGGTAAACAAGAATGCTACCTTTCACGAACTACCGAAAAATTTCAGGTAACGAACGGTACCAGAAATTAACCACAATTTGCTACCGGAAAAAGGCAGCTATTGTAAGAACTTCCAGGATCAGCTATCAACCATGGCCACATCAACCACCGAGGAAAATTACAGAAGACTTAACGAACATTATCCACTATCGGCATTCTATTGGAAATATAACGAGATATTACCTACCGTCGATAAAAAATACAGCTACCAAAAAATGGTTGACGACTCCGATAAGGAAGAGCAAAATAACGCAAGAATGAGTGAGCAGGATAGTTTCAAAATACAAACGACGGAAAGCAAATCGGGAGACAGTGGAGAGTTCAACAGAGATGCAGTGCAGAAACCAAAACGAAAATATACACGAAAACAAATACCGTCCATTACCATACAGAAAATAACTCCAGAACTGGACGCCCTCCAACGGAGTATGGCCGAACTAAGCTGAAAGCCCGAAGCACTGCGACGGCAAACACCTCCCAGTGGGGAAAAAACACCTCCTCGGAATTATTACGACATCGCGCTTCATAGAGGACTGAGTACGAAACCGTACAAAATGTTCACCGTACTGAAACGGAATATTTGTGAAATATTTTGATTTCTGGGAAAAGCTCGGAACGCGTCTGCAAATTTATCTCTCGAATAGACGACGCACTAGAAGTATTCCGGCACATTAGAGGCACTGAAATTCTAGGCGCCTCGAGAGGGCTGATTACTGGATGCGCCTGTGAATGGTACAGGAGCCACTCATTCACCACATGGACCGAATCCCGAAGAGAATTCCTCAGCCGCTTCTCAGATCCTGACTATCAGTTAGCAATAGTGATGGTAATATCTAAGCGCGCTCAGGGTGAGAAGGGGCTAATGTCAGAGATCCTGACAAAGATGACGAGCCTATCCAATTGCCTAACAGATCCATGGTCAGGAAGCCAGCAAGTGCGACGTTGCCAGAGAAATCTGTTGCCACGCTATCGTATCAACATCACCTACCGCAATAATATGACATTCGAAAAGCTGGAGAAAAAAGTCATCCGAAAAGAGCAAGTATTTTCCGAATCCAACAAATGGAGACCATCATCTAAGAATCGAAGAATCGCTATGCCCCTCACTCACCTACGCTGAGCCTCGAACTATGAAAATGTTCCAAAGAACACACCTACCTAGAATAGAGGATGACAATGAGTCTCCTCGACCTGTCGAGAGCGAGTTTGACGAGGAATCAATGGCAGAAATCTTCACTTTAAGAAAAAATTTCAAGAAAGACTACCGAGATAAACTCCGTGCAGATAGGCCAACCAAGTCGCAAAGTACCACGATGAGATTCGGGTGGACCTGCTTCAAAAAAGGACTCTTCCACAGTGACTGCAAGTGCACTGAGAAGAAAACATTCTACTTCCGTTGTGGATACCCGCAGGTACTAGCGCCTAATTGGTCACGTTGCAAAGCGGGAAATGCGCAGTGAGGCTGTCGACAAACGACGGTATGCCGAATCAGCCTCATACCGAATACGTTTACGATTCAAGCAGTTATCGATTACACGACAGTTACCGTGGGCCACCGGCACCAGCCGGCGGGGAAGGGAGAGCACAGACACTGCGCTAGAAGAGCTGAAAGCCCGAAGGCTCCTAGGGGGACCAGCTACGGGCAGAAACCAAGTACCGGAATATAAACTGTTACAGAGACGAAATTTCAGACAATTAAAGCACGGAAGACAAAAAAGAAACGCCTAGTGAAAACGTGGTCTTAAACGCCGCAAATTCTGAGGGAAGCATCAGCTTCGGACTGACGATAAACTTGGATGTCCTGACAGTGTCAGGCCTGGTTGACACCGGGGCCAATCAATCCTTTATCGACGCCAAGACAGCGGAGGAACTGAGACTTCGCGCAGCGAAAGCCTGGACAGTTAGACCGAGGCGAGTAATTTCGATGCCCTCCGCTCGGCTGGTCTCACGATAAACCGTAAAAAGAGCGAGTTTTGGGCTTTGTGGTCAACCGTTATCTGGGCTTTATGGTTGACAGCTCTGGTCTACGGTTTGACTCACAGAAAATTAGGCTAGTTATCAAATTCCCAGCCCCAAGAACTTTACGGTAACCTCGCCGATTTTTGGGTATGGCCCCATAGTACCGACACGTCGTGCTCAACTTCACCACCATTGCCGAAGCGCTAATGAAACTAACGCAGAGGACCAACCTTGGATCTGGGCAACAGAGCAAGAAACTGTGCTATCGATCCTGAAGGAACGGCTCATGACAGCATCAACGCTGGTCAGCCCGCACTTTACAGCTCCATTCGCCTTACAAACTGATGCCAGTAGTGTCGGTTTAGGAGCTGTCCTAACACCAGTCATCAGTAACGAAGAACGGGCGATAGCGTACACCAGTCGCGGGTTATCCAATTTAGAACGGAAATATACCGTTACGGAGCAGGAATGCCTGGCGGTCCTTTCGGGCATGAAGAAGTTCTGTTGCTACCTCGAAGGGTACTCGTTTATCGTAGTTACCGACCGCAGCAGTCTCCGATGGCTTCACAATTTAAAGAATTCAAAGAATAATTTAGTCGAACGGACGACTACCTAGATGGGCTCTCGATATGCCTGAGTATGACTTTAAAATCATACATTGGAAAGGTGCACTCTACTACGTCCCTACTAGAACCCGGGAAAATGAAGACCCGCTACCGGAGTCAACACTCTCTGAAGGAAAGACACCCTTAGGAGACGTGAAAAGAGTCCCAGAAAGGTTCTCGGAATGGAAAGTTATCAATGGTCGCCTCTATTTCCATTACTCTTCAAGTCTGGCCTCACTCCAGTTTAACGACTTGAATGCCTGGAAATTGGCACTCCCTCGTGAACTGAAACGCCAAGTGATGAAGGAGCACCACTCGCTACCGCAAGCTGGACACTTACGCACAGATAAGTCGTACCAGCGTATGGCCATCAAATATTATTATATATGATCACCGATAATGGGATGAACATCTAATCGAGTTCTGGTTTGCCTATAACACGGCATATCATAACAGCTCTCTACAGGCTACGCTT